TTTTCTACAGTAAGACATTTTCTTTTCTGTAATTCATGGTTTCTTGGCTTTCTTCTGTAATTCATGGCTATAAGGCGAGAGATATTATTTTAAAGAAGGCCTGAATTCAATCACTTAGATTGAAAGGGAATCAATTTGTGAAACAGTAATAACTAGAATTAGCAATACTGTCCTCTGCCAAGGTCCTAATTGTTCCATACCACAAAGGCATGAATCACAACTCACAGACACTAGGAGACAGCTCAGACACATCCAAGGATGCTGGCCTGGCATGGGGGGACAGCATCCAGAATGACACTGATCCCACACAGATGCTAAAAGCAAAAAATAAACACGATCCATTCACCATGAATGGAAATCATCTGGACAAACAAAATGGGCTGCACTTAATTTTTACTTCAGAAATGTAAACGAACCTCAAAGAAACTCTGTTTTGAAATTCAATAGTGTTCCAGTAACTAAAGCTGCAGAAAGAACAGGGCCGAACAATTGCCAAGTGTGAGGTTCAAGGCATATTCTAACTCCTGTCCTGCACACTTTCATTCATGTATTTACTATACTATGAATGGTAATTTTATTTTAAAACTGACTTATTTATGTCTAATTAAGTGTAAATATATGAAAGGGGAGATYTACTTTCAGCACACTTATGTGTCATGGGACAAATGAGAGGGGCCATTTTTGTCACACAGATACTAAAACCAGAATACATATCATAACACAAACCAAACTTCTGTTATTTTATCACTATGGTTYGCAAAAATATTTTTTCTGTAATTCATAAAGCTTAATGAGTTTCTGAACATACTCATTTCATATGCTTGAGCAGTACAAAGAGGGATATTTATAAGATTTGATGCAATTAGCATCAAATTTTTGTACACTTACCTGAAAAGCAAGCTTTARCAGACTGATTACAGTAGCTCAAACTTCTTTGCCTCACTATTTGTGGTAACACTTCATCACTCATTGGCACCTGAACATTTGTATCAGTTAGCACACTGATAAYACTGCGCTTTGCCTTCGGGGGCAGATTTGTTTGGAGACTGATGAGCTTTTGAAACATTTCATGATTGTATCCCTGTGCAATTTGCCTTGAACATCAAGAGCAAGTAGGAAAAATAAATGGGGAGTTGGCTAAGCAKTACAACAAAGCAGAAGAATCTCTCTTGACTATATACTTGCATTTCGATTCCTTCATCAAATTATGTGTTTTTCTAAAGAAATGTGCTTTAAGAACTATTAGTTCCCAGTTTGATCCAGCAGTCTCCGTTCCTGTGTATCTCTCAAGTACCACTCATTTCTGTTTTAAAAACCCAAATGTTCTCCTTGGCTCGATCTGCCAATTTTATAACAAATAACCATTAGCATTAAGGTTACAAGGTAATTTGCATTTAGATTATGTTTTCTGGACAACACTGGATATATGAATTTCAGAGTGCCATGTCTCATTGAAGTTCTTAGTACAGCCTGGGCTCTTACAGCACATGCTAAAGGCAAATGCACTTCTCTGTAAAAGATGGATAGATAGATAGATAGATAGATAGATAGATAGATAGATAGATAGATAGATAGATAGATAGATAGATAGATGACAGATAGATAGACAGATAGATAAAGATAGATAGACACACAGATAGATACTAAATTAATAAAATTCCTATCTTACCTCATAGAAAAGTGCTAAAGTAACTTTAACAATTTGAAAATACTACTTCAGCTATAATCATTAGCACTCTCTTCRTTTGTAAGTGGAACAAACCAGCTCCTTCAATGATTATTACCTTCCTAATTCTTAACCTGTATCTGTATTTTTAAAACGTTGTTTACCAAGACAATTAAGAACTGGGTATTGAGAACTAGCACAGAAATCTCGAACGTTAAAATGAACATTAAAATGAAAATTTCACAAACACAAATAAAAGCGACAGCAAAAACTTAGAATCTATTTAAATATCTTTTTAGAGATGTCAGCCTAAGGACAAATGAACTTATTACATTTCAATAATAATATTTGTCATCTCCTTTTAATTGCATCTAGGAATACAAAACATGATGCAACTGCACCTGGCTGGATAGCAATGATGGACAGACTGGTAATAAAATTTTCAAGCATGACCTTCCTTCTTCAACAGCCAGATTTACAGAAATGCAGCCCAATTCTTTTACATCAGAGGGTTTCTCTTTTCTGCACAAACCAGGCAGAAAAAAAAAAAGAATACCAATGGCAGCTTTTTAAGAAGGGCTTGATTTGTTAGCTGTGACTAATTTACTTCCTGTGTACGCTTAAATGGATAATACTTCACATTTCAGAACAATAATATACTTGTTAAATATCAAATCCATTTGCTAATTAATTAATCCCTTCAATATCTTCGTAAGGGTATGTTAGCTTTTCRGTGGCTTTTTGTTGCTCTTTGATCTTCAGATGAGGAAAATGAGAACCACAGAGTTGAAGTATCCTTCCAGACACAATGTCCAAYGAAATCCAGAGTGTCTAAGGTAGAACTCAACTTATTATAAAACAGAGGGAGTTTTCAGCAGAGCTTTTGGTTGGAAACTTAACTGCATGAACATTTTCTCATGTAGCCTTTAACTACGTCAGTCTGCTGATCAGACTGGCCTATTCCAAACCCTGCTGTCTCAGTGGGACTCCAGAGAAGTGGGGATGAAGGGCCCAAACAACTCTTCATCCTGGGATTTACAGGTTGTCAGTTTCCTGTTTCTTTAAATTAGTTATTGTTTATTGTTTTAGAGAGCGTGGCTGGAGATAAATGCAACTGCTTTTGATTCATTATTCCTTTGGATTTTTGTTTTAATTAATGTCAGAAGCACTTAGAATTKTAGGAAGACATTCTTTCAATGCATTGAAGACAAAAGAAATAAACTAAAATTATTTCAATGGAGCTATAATGTGAAAAAAACCCAAACATTTTGTGACAACATCAAAAAAGATGAGGCAGTAGAAAAACAAGGCYATGTGTAATTTTCACATGTGTCCCTACTGGCACAGACATAAGGCTGAGTCCTAAAGAAAGCTTCTGGCAAGTTATCCCAGCATGGCTGTAACAGAGATAAAAAAGACACTGAGGCAGGTGTGGGGAAAGTAAGCTTCCACTGACCAAAAAAGAAATAGTCTGTAATTCCAGTTTAAACCCTGAAGCTGGGATTCATCTTTCCCATGTTAAAGATGACTGGTTGGTCAAGGGTAATGAGGACAGAGTTACTCAATTCTTACTCAATGCGATTTTTCTAGGACTATACCTATCATTAACTATTTTGACAAGTGTGGGAGGTGTATGTTATGACAAGATTGAGCGTGAAACAGAATGGCTACAACTGCAAACAGCATAATCATTTATCTTACTGACAAGAAAAGGGAGCTGTGGTAATTGCCAGGGAATAAATGGAGTCAGCRGTGTTTTTAATATGGCATGAACTGCTGTGTGCAATGAGAAAGGCAAGAGACCACAGAGAGTAAGGAGGTAAGACACATAAAGGAGGACTAACAGCAAGTGATCAAAGAGATGGGAGTCAGTGGGACTTCTCTGCAGCCATGCAGGAGTAACCTAAGGAGAGAATTGATACCCAAAGGAAGAAAGGGCCAGGAAGAGCATGCTGACAGCTGCATGGGCAACAGGAAGCTAGAGGCAACAAAAAGGCTAAGTGGGAGAAG